AAAAAAAAAAAAAAAAAAAAAAAAAAAAAAAAAAAAAAAAAAGGTGTCAAGTACCACAAGAGTAACAGAACTGTGCTGTTTTCTGGGGATTCTGTTTTTTACTTTTTTGTTGTTATTTGTTTGTTTGTTTTTGTTTTTTTGTTTTTTGTTTGTTTTTAAATGGAGTGTGCTGGATATCTCTACAATTTTGTTTAAATGACTGCAGAACCTGGAAAAGCTGTTACTGCTATTGATGCATAACATATTGCCATTATTGGTCTTTTTATATAAATATAAATATATATATATATGCTAATTGAAACTCAAATATGTGATGAATCCAAGGTGTTTCAGTGAGCGCTCACCTGTGCATGCAAATTTGATTTCATCTTTAGTAATATTAGGCTTCAATGTAGGTCTTTTAACAATGGGGAAACAATTGGTTTACGGATATAAAACTGCAGTTGGACAAGAGGCACGGACTCTGTGAAGCCTAGAGGTCTATTGAGAGCATGATAAATATGGTTGATAACAATATGCTATATTTTAAAAGTTGTGAGATAGTATACTTTAAGTGTTCTCAAAACAAAAATGATGAATATGTGTGATATAACATGTTAATTGGTTTAATTTAGCCATGCCATTGTGAACATACTGTATTGTGTATCACAATTGTGCATGACTTTATTTATGAGTTAAATAAATGAAAGGGAAAAAAAGGAATAAATTTCTGAAAGATGTGAATGTTTCAGGTCAATGTGGTAAAAGAAGAAAGTGACAATTTCTTACAGTATCTACACTGTACTGTGGTGGGGACACTCAGGGCAAGTTCTGCTTTTTCTTATCCAAATGGCTGTGTGTGTGCAAGGTGAAGCTCAAGAGTGAGTTTGCCCCACCATCAAAAGGACTACCTCCCATGATGATCACCCATCAACAGGCAACTGTCACTGTGGAGGGATGCCACTTAACAAGTCAGAAACAAAGATATGACTCCAGAAATAAGACACCAGAATACACAGAAGCCAGTGCCATAAAACACTAGGCTTCCAAAAGTATTCTCTGATGAGAAGCCTGAGCCAGGCCAGGCAATTGTCTCTAGAAGACACCCGTAAATGATGAGATACATGCTGGTCTCTTCCAGTCTTAGGTGGATACCCTCTCTCAGTTCACAGGGATCCGGACCAAGCTGATCCTGGGTGGATATGAACCCGCAACAAGCCCATCTGCTCTGAGTTTTCCATACACACCATAAGCTCTCCACATCTGCCAAGGATAAAAAGTGGGCCCCAAGTGTAGGACTCCTACACACTGTCAGTAGTACACGCCATTACTCTAGACCTGAGATACAAAACCTGACGAGTGGACAAAGCCATGATGGTGAAGGTGGGCCCCAGTACCTCACTTCCTGCGCACTGAATGGTGACTTGGGACATGTAAGTAACACTGCCCAGTGACTTTATGTCATCCCCCTCCCAGCTCCGGATGGGCTCCGTAAGAATCTGCAGCTCCAGCTCTTTCCTTTTTCGGACTTCTTGACAATGGGCCTGTGGGACATAGCACACAACCGTTTATAGATAGAAGCTTCTAGAACCTTGCCTTCACCACACTGCTTCTGTTTTTACAATTACTATTCTGTACCAGCGGGATGATGAATGATTTAACTGCAAGGAGTTGGTGGATTCAAGCCAAGGAAACAAAATGCACACGTGGCACCTTAAGCTTTAATAAGCAATTCTGTCAGTTTCAGGAAGCCATGTACAGTGGACGAGAGCATTTCCTTCGGGCTTCATCAGTGTCTGCCAGCAGACATGCCCAAGAGGAGGAAGTAGCATGGCTATGTACAGCAATGTGTGTCTAAAGCACAGCTGGACAATACGACAAGTGAGGACTTGTGTCCTGGATGCCACTCAAGAGCTCTAGACTTGGAGGCAGGGGAGTTAAATGACTACAGCATCTACAGCAAAAACCATGCCATGTCCTTTCTGAATCTCAGTCACCCCAGTTCTGGCTCGTGTCCACAGTGCACTTTGGGGAGAATTTACTGGCAGTGGAATGTTGCTATGCATGACCTTTACCTCATTCCAATGAACACTGCATTCAATTCACAAGTCACTCGTTTACTGTGTCTCTTTTCCAGTGGGTGTTAATTCAACACGCATTTGTCATGATAATGTCTGAGAGAAAGTAAATAAGCTTAATCGCTTACTGAGAGGTTTTTGAAGGCAGTCATGGACTTCTGAATATCTTGTCTATCAGGGTGATAATCCTGTGGATAAAAGAGAGACATGATTAACTTTCACACTGGAGCATCCTGGAGACTAGCCTGGAACCTTTGACACTGTTCAGAGTCCTTAGTTTCTCAGCATTTGAGGACTGCTTATCTTTTAAGGGATCATTTGGAACAAAACTGCCAAGAGGGGTCAGCAAGCAACATTGTTCTATAAATAAAGCCTCATGAGAGCATGGCTACAAGCTTGTCCACAGCGATCTCTTTCCTGCCCTCTAAGGGCAGGGCTGAGCTGAACAGTTACAAAGAAGGTGCACAGGAATAAGCAGGACGGCCAGGATCCCTGTCAGCTCTCAAGCTGTTATCCCAGACTACAATAAACATCCCCATTTTCACCCTGCAACTCAGGATCCTACTGCTTGTAGCTAAATGCTGACAGGACACCCAACACTACTTGAAAATTACTCTTTGCAGGTTTTGGAGCACTTGGTGGGCAGATGGGTGCATGATGAAGTAAAAAAAATGATACTTCCTCCTAAGTCTGGATGAGGAGAAAATCTCCACGCTTAAAGTCCCTCTGAAAACCACTAAGTTAGAAACTCGAGACGAGCTCTGGGATAGTCTCACAGACATGAGGTCAGACATGGCTCAGGGCCTCTGGTCAGGAAGCAGTGGCACCTCCATGTGTCTCTCCAGCTCCTTCAGTAGTGTGGGGTACTTGTCCAGGCGCATGAAGGGCTTGCTGAGGCCAGTGGTCAGCACCAGGATTCCAGGACTGCTGGCACCTTTGGATTCCATGAACTCGCCCAGGTCCTCACTGAGCAGTAGGAGAAGAAGGGAGAGGGGAAGAGGCTCCAGTCAGGGACACAGGGCCAGAGCTCTGCATCACAGCCAGTTTCTTCTATGACAAAATGGCATACTACAGTGGCTGCAGCTTTACACCCACAAATGTGCTGGTTACCACGCAATGTGAAAAATACCCAAAACCACTCTCAACTCTCACCTCAATTGCACATATCTTTACTCAATCCCAGTGACAAAAGGGCCCTAGGCATGCTGGCTTATTGGAACCTTTACAAGGTCTCCTGAGAGAAAGCTGATAAGAGCTTCAATAAGCTGTCTCTGAGCCTCAGAGACCTACGTGAAGGGACCCACACCCTAACGAGAGGTCTGACCAAGTCCTGGTGAACTGATCACATTCTCTAGGAGCATTAGTGGCACACACAGAGCAGCACAGAAGGACAGGGCCAGGTACAGGCTCTAGCACGGGGGGAGACTGTCACAGCATCACTTCATCTCACCCCCACAGAACATACAGAAAGCAGTGGGGACACATGGCAGGCCCAAAATTTAGAGAGCATTAAAAACAAGTCTTAAACACTCTACGCCCTTTCACAACCCCTTCACTAGTCAGCAAATGTTCCTATGACAAGTCTCAAATGACAAGAATTGCCCAGAGTCCTCAGTTTCTGCTGGACCCTCTCTCTGCTTTTCCCACTGAGGGAAAAGTGGGCCCCCGTCATTCAGGTATTCCAGGGTTTGGAGACATGTCATAACACAGTCACAGCAGAGAATTCATAGCATCCCCTGCTCAGAACTCATAAGAATAAAATAAATTTAAACAAGCCAAAGTAACTGTATGTGATCTGCATGCAACATTCTGTGCTGCCAGGAAAAAACATTCACAGCAAAGAACAGAAACAGAACTGCACAAAACTTCCTAGACAGTTTCATCTGCAGCTTAACACCATAATTAAAACAATTCATTACAGCTATTCTGACAGAATGATGGCAAATTCGGCTTAGTTTTCACTGATATAGGCCACCATGTAGCCAAGCAAAGGTAACAAACTGTGGAAAATGTGTTCTTACAGAACAACTTATAGAACCCATTCAGAACACGTGGCCCCTAGGACCATGTATCAACACAACAAAGGAGAGGTGCATAGCCATCAGGAGATCTACACCCAGCGCTACAGCTAGGCTAGAACACTTGCAGAGGGCTAAGGCTGACAGCTAAGAATGTAGAACAAACCCAAACTTGTGTGCTCTAGGCACATCTTCCCATCAGTGAACTACCCCCCAGCTTACAAAGGCAAAGATTTCAGACTGGAATATACAACCTTACTTGCAAAACTAGGCTCTGGCATCAAACAGAATCTATTGGCCACAGTGTGGTAGCATCATAAAAGCAAAAGATAGATAGCTAGCCCAGCAACTCAGTAGAGACAGCACTGCTAAAAGAGGTGATCAGACAGGAGAACACGTGGCTCCAAGCACCAACTTACGCCTCAGGAGGAGGATGGGATCTGTGGCAGGCTGAGGGGGAACCCTCACAGCTCAAGTACCTCAGAAGAGCACACAAACACCACATCCTGCTGTCTGCCGGCTCAGGACTCTCCTCTTTATGGCTCAGTATCCCACAACCAGCTGTTCCAGGCTCTTCAGAGCAGACCCTAAGGACCCCACTCCACATTCAGCATGCCACGTTGAACAGACAGCTGGGACACTCCCAGGGCAACACCTAGTCTGTGTCCTTCCCCCCTGTTATTTTGATATGTGCTTGCCTTTCAGACAGGACCCAAATAGTCACTGGGGTAATAGCAGAGTGGAGGTGAACAGCACTGCCCACTGGCATCTGGCCTCAGCTCTGCTACTTTAACCACCTCCCTCCCACAGAAGTAAGACAGACTCTACCCAGGACTGTCCACCCTGCCATTTCTGTTCTCATACTCCACCCTGTAGGACCAGGCATACTCTCCAAAATATGTATGGGGGGTGGGGTGAGGGATAACATCTCACTTGCTCTCTATCTCCCATTTCAGTACATCAATAATTCCTAAAGAATATTTAGAGACACAAACTTAACACCTGGGTTTTGCTTCTGTAAAATTTCATAACTTCTAAGCTCAGAGAGTCAATGTAATATGTAACTGAATATAAGTTTCCTGCTAAAGAGAACAAGAGGCTGACCTAGCCCCATCCCAGGGAGGAAGGAGGAGAACACAGTGGGCCAAAGTGTGGCTTCTACTTTCCCTCTGACTGTGAAGCACTCATCCCCTTCCTTCCACCCAAAACTGTAGGTGTTAAACAGACTTGAGTCAGCAACACTGATCCTTGTACACCTGAGCACACTAAGAAGCAAAAAATGCCTGGCTCACTTATTTTTCTTACACAGGTCAGACAACAAAATAATGAGTGCTTACTGTGTGAGCTCTGCAGTGGCTAATGCATGCATGGTATTCTTATGCTTATCACAACCCTTTGAACAGGGACTCTGGCCACTGTAGCCTCTGCTGCATTTCTAAGGAGGCAGGCAAGGCTGCTTCATCCAAGGTATTTACTTGTTGTGCTTCATTATTTTAAACCAAAATGTCCAGTTAAGAACACACTAAAGCTACTGAAAATAAAAAGCACATGTATCTTGATGCTGATGAATACTTTTCCAATAAGAGCTTTGAACATCCTGAACTGCTGTTTATAAAAGAAACCACATAATTTCTCCCAATAATAACAAAGTTTCAGTGATAATAAAATAGAAATGTTGTGCCTCTTTTAGCATCAGAAGCCAGTCCTGAGCTCACCAGACATGTGCTCAGTCACCTGGCATGATACCAGCACTCACCATAATGAGACTTCCCAGAACACCTAAACACCTCCTCCCAGCTCAAAGGGAACAGCTGGCACCATACAGAACAAGTGAAATCCTGCACATTAATTCTGAGTCAGATTGAAAGGCTCAAGCAAATGATCTGCAACTGAACGCTCTGCCCACAAACAGTCCTCACCTGAAACAGCCACTTCTCTCACAACTGCTCCCACTCAGCCCAGTGCCCAGCTCTCCCACCCACCCAGGAGAAAGCTGATCTGAGGCCTCAACATGGCTTGCAGCAATTTCCTAAGCACTTGGCAGCTGCCCTCCAGCTCCTCTCCAAGAAAAGGTCTCAGGCTAAAGGACCTTCTTCTGGGGTGGGTGTGTGTGCGTGTGTGCGTGTGCGCGTGTGCGCGTGTGCGCGTGTGCGCGTGTGCGCGCGTGCGTGCGTGCGTGCGTGCGTGCGTGCGTGTGTGTGTGTGTTTTGGGGGGGTTGCTGGGCTATAAGGTTTCAGAAGTTGTGTGTTTGTGTGTA